AATTAAAATAAACTAACATAACAACTAAATTTGTACTAATATATATATATATATATGACACAATAATACTTATCTAAATGTGTATCACTACATACATATGTTACAGTAATATTGATCTATCTGTGTATCACTACATACATATGACTCAATAATACTGATCTATCTGCGATAGCGTATTATGCCAGAAAAGATCATACGAGAGAATGTGATAATTCTAAGAATCATGAACCACAATATTGGTTCATTATAGGGATCGCACTGGAATTTGCTAAAAACTCTAACAGAACATTCGGGCAAAAACCACCTTAAAAAGCAGACCACCCGAACATTGATAATAAGCAAAATAAGTGATTTCATGATTGTTAGACAAAATAAAAATTTGCCCATTTGTTCATATTATTAATATTTCACAATCCTACAACAAAATTTACTGGGTATTTTGCACTAAAATCTATACAGATATACTATATGAAGCGCTTTGAATGTTCATGACCTATTTAAACGTTGATTATTTTGCAATGAAGGTTGAGTTACGTGAATATAAGTACATAATAGTTACGATGTTGTTCTGAGCGGCTGCTTTTGTATTTGACACCTGATCAAAACATTTACACGAAATCAGAAGCATAAACTACCTACTCAGTAAATAATTACTTTAAAAGACACGAAGCTTTTTTTAAAAGCGATGTTTAGTCGTATTTTTGTTATTTGTTTTTCTACTGGTAAAATTATACACGCGCTTAGTGGGGTTTGCATATATTTGCCCATTTCTGTGCATTAAAGGAAAGCCAGCATACAGGCTAATTAAAAACTGAGAATTTAAAATATGCAATTAGGGATTGCAAAAAGTAAGCAAACTAGGCTGGAGATCTACTGCTAACAGTTCGTTCACTTCACTATAAAATTATTGCATGGGATATATATTGGAGAGAGGGACATCTGACAATATAGAAGACAAAAGAAGTCTTCTAAATTCACCTAACAGATAACACACTCAGTCAGCATAGCATAGAAATCAGAAAAATATAGATGATCCGCATAATGCTGATATACAATTCACAAACTTACATGGTGTTCATAGTATCTTATTTATATATATATATATAAACCACACATGAAAATATGGAAAGACAAAACAAGTCTTCTACATTCATCTAACACTCAGTCAGAATTAACATAGGAATAAAAAAATATATAGATTATCCGCGTAATGGTGATATAGTTTTCATAGTATCTCATTTGCGTGTATATATATGTGTGTGTTTGGTAGGGCAAATTACTTGATAAAAATCTATTTTATTTTGTTTACCTTTTCAGTTTTCTCACAAGGCCTCAAGAAGTACTTCTGAACCATTTTAGCTAAGGTCATCTTGGCTTCCAACTGAGCAAATCTCATCCCAATACAGTTTCTAGGTCCATATCCAAATGGCTGCCAAGCAAGTGGATTGCGGTTGTGATTATCAGGAGAAAATCTGAAATATATTTAAAGTTCAGATTGTAGTAAGGTATTGATAAAGTTGTTAAAACAAGAACATTGTACATAAATACTCGTATAAAAAACATATTTTTATATGAAGTTGCGTTCGTTAATTTTCAGAAATAAGCGATTTGTTTTATTGAAGTTTTGAGCAGAATATTCCAAAGCTGACTAAAAACTCAATCGATTGTCTAACACAATTTTTTTCTGTAATATAATATAATATAAAGCATAACTTAACATGTTAATAATCCCAACACAAGTAGGAAGTTTGAATAAAATATTGCTGCTTACTATAACAATGCTTAAGTTCTGTGTGAAAAGTTTTTCATAAACCAGCATTTTTCAAATATTTTAAGAAAGTTATTTACAGTTTTTAAAATGATTTGCATATGTTGATTCTCAGGGGTGTCGCAACAAATACAAGTCATGGTAAAAGGAGCGGTGTGTTTGGCACCAGTATCAATTAGTTCATGGCATTTTCTTCGACAGTGCAGTGTTGTTAAGGTTAGCTTAGGGTTGGAGGTCACGGCCTTTCCCGAGGAACGCTACTTATAGAACCAAAGAACACAATATTTAAAAACGAGGGCATCCAATATTTATTATGGAAGCATAAAAACTGGTACAACAGATAGTTGGGTTGTGATGAAGGTGGTAAACAGGAACCCGTACAGCCATTCCCCTCGGAATTTGGATGGATCCAAATGTTATATCTGTATTTGCCTCTCAGTTAACAAACCCAACGTTATAAAACAACTAATTATTTATGACACAACCGTAATTCACAGATAAAAACCGAAATACTACTGAAAACCTAACTGGAACATTTTTATGCAATTTTTTCTCTAAGTATTTGAGAACTATAGATTAGCAAGTTTTGAAAACGATAACATCTGATATTCTACATATATGGTAAGATTATCAAATAGTACTGCTACCCATATTTTTGTGGATCTTTATGTTTTCCCCCCTGTGTGTGTGTTAGTTTGTGTTTGTCAGCAAGATTTCTGTATAATGGCTGAATGGATTTGGACGAAAGTTAGCATACATTTGGAGATTCAAGGTCACAGCGAGTTGAGGAAAATCCAAAAACTCCCTCTCTGTTAACATGGTGACCGATTTTTCACACTATTTTTTCTCTATAATTCAGTCAAAAATGATCAGATTTTGATGAACCATATGTAGAATATTATTCTTCATTGTCCTGCCAAAAATGATCCGAGTTCGTTGATAACAACGGATATACGGACACATTTTCGTAGTTTTGGAGAGCCGAATATGATCAACGCTCTAATGAGCGCCTCTCTAGTTGTTCTAAGTTTCAATTAACCCAATAAAAAGAATTACATCAGAAAACATTATGTTCTATATAATTCAAGGTAGTAAATTGCTTTAGTCCTAACTACTGTTGTTTTTTCTAGCTCGCTGGTATAGGCTTTTTTTGATTTTATAATATCTTCATTACATAAATAACACATTCGGATAACAGTGGACCACTTGGTCCTTTAGAACAATTAGACCCACAGTTTATATTTCAATAAATCATCAATTCATCTTTCAAACTCATGTAAAGTTCTAGATTCCACTACTGTCAGCAAGTTATTCATAAGTCAGTCAACCTGTAAGAAAGTAAAGTTTTCTTGGACTGGAGGCAAGCCTCTCTTTTCGCTATCTTAAATTCTTTACTTCTCGCTCTAGTGTCTTCAGAATACATAGTAAAGAAGTCAAAGACTTTTAACCTAGCTATCTCCTGGATAATCATGTAAAGTTCAATAAGATCTTCTTTGAACCTTTTCCAAGTGGTCAATATCTTTGCTTAGGCAAGGAAGTCAAAATATGTACTGATTATTATAAGTAAGGTCTAACTTGTGATTTGTATAGATAGTAAATATCTGTCTTTATTTGTAGTTACGTATACTAAATAGTTTAATGTCGTCAGCAAATTTCACTAATTTACTAGTTATGCCTCTATCAGTAAATGTGATTCACATATTATAATACATTCTCGTTTTCTTAGAATCTCATTCACTTAAATAAGAAAAATCAAAGGCCCAAGTACTGACCCATGAGACACTCCACAAGTAACAAGGGTCCAGTTTCACTAAGCTCCATTAATAATAACCTTTTGTTTTTACCACCCAACCACCTTACAATACAATTAAGTAGACTTCACCAGCCCCTATCGATGTGATTTAGTTCTGTGTGACACTTTATCGAAAGCTTTTGAAAATATAAGTACAATAAGTTTACATTATTTCCATCATTCAGGTGAAACATTAGGTTTCCGTATCGTGTGTTCATTGGTTCTATTTTATATCATATACTGTACGATCATGATATTATTTTCCTCAATATAGATTATTCCTAGGTGAATACAAGCATTTACCTTACACAATAAAACAACAGTACGAGTGAAAGTAAAGAAAAATATGTTATATATCAACTTCTGTCACATCCAGTAATCTGATATCTACTTTTTTCACGATCAGAAGCCTATACGATTATTTAAGTATACTCTTTAATTACTTATTAATATTTTTAGTTAATATACACTAATTATAAATTGGTTTATATGTTTCATTTTGGTTATTAATCTGCTGGTGTCGTCAAAACAATACTGTGAAGGTCAATATGTGGTGGCAAAGGCCAAAATTCGATCCCAAGTCATCTTTTTTTGAAAGTTTGATGTCGTATCTACACGTCCAGTTCTCTCCCGTTGGGACTTGTATGAATTACTTATTTAAATATATTTCAAGTGTCCACATGTATCTTTTCAATTTGATATTCATACAAATAACAAATGTACTATGTGCTGCCATCTTGTGGAGTAAAACCACTTGTAGGTATATTTTATCTTGATCTAAGTGAAAACAGAAACTAAATCATGATATCTAGTTCACTATGAAATTCAAAAATTACACAAGCTAAATTTAGATATTTCATAAATACGAAATTAATAATTAAAAAAATAGCTGCCAAATATTAAATCAAATTATACTGACTTCATATAACAATGGTGACTCTTGATAGTTTCAGTAATTTAAGATAGTTAATTTCACTTTATTTTTGTGTTTTCCTAAACGTTAAATATTTCAATCTTATATTTATGCTTCTTTAGGGAATTTTTTAAATTTTGTGTTCATATAGAAATACTCAAAACTTACAGGTAAACTGGTGGATAAACCCGAAGACTTTCGCTGAAAACCTGATCCAGGTAACGCAGTTTATGAACAGACACGTAGTCCAAGTTTTCTCCCTAAAATATAAAATTTCTGTGAAAAATAGTGTTTCTATATAAAACAAAGTAAACGTAAACTCGATCTGATCTGACATCCTCCACAGAAAAGGTTGATTAGTTTTAGATCATTGTAGCTGTGAGTATGTTCTAAAGTAAACTAAGTTAACAGTAACTAATATTTTACTCGTAATTTCTAGCTTCTGTAAGTGGATACAAATTTTGTGAAAGTATGTTGTCAACTATGTATAAAATGAGCACTGTTTACAACATCTAAAACGATATATTACTGATGAGTCAATGTGGTAAGTTATATTGTATTTTACGTACTTCCTTTTCAACAAGCTCGTCTACCTCTTGTCTGATTTTTTTCCTGCACTTCAGGATGTTGCACCAGTAGATGTGTGGTGTAACCAAGAGCAGAACTAGTTGTTCCATAACTGAAATAAAATTATATAATATGGTTGTTTGTCCTTAAGTACAATGGGCTACCTGTACTCTGCCTACATGCAGTATCGAAACCCGATTTTTAAAATATAATCCCTCAGATTTACTGTTGAGTCACCAGGGTTCGCTATAATATGAAATGAATTATACCTAAATATGAAAACAGAAATAAAACATTGGAAATTCAAAGTAATACGAATGTCGTTATACCCTAAAGTTAGAATTTAAAATTAATAGTAATACATTCTGTGTAATATTACCAGTTCTAAGTATTTGTTACAATTGAAGTAATTTAGTTAATGATAAAATTATATAATATGGTTGTTTGTCCTTAAGCACAATGGACTGCCTGTAGTCTGCTTAGATGGAGTATTAAAACCCGACTTTTAGGAACATAAGCCCTCAGACATACCAGAGTTCTTTATAATATAAAATTAATTATACATAAATATGAAACAGAAGTAAAAAATTATAAATTTAAAGAAACATTAAAACTAGAATTTAAAATTAATATTAATACATTCTGTACAATGTTATAACTTCTAAATATTTATAAGAGTTGAAGTAATTAGGTTAATGATAAAAGATATATTATAAGAGCTATACAGCCAGAAAAGCATTATAATCAATGATAAAAGACTATTAAAAGAACCACAGTTACCCTGCTACTAAAGCCAGGAAAGCATTATACACCACTTCATCGTCCGTTAATCCACTCTTGGAACCTGTGATGATACAAATTCAGGTAAATTTGAGACTTCTTCGAATTTTAGCCACAGAGACAGAAAGATAATCGGGATTATTAACAGATAGTACTATTAAATTGGTCGATACCATTTGTACTTGCGCCAGGGATTGATTTGTGTGTTTCGTCTCCAGCAGTTAGTTGACTCCCGGTAACCTTCCTAACGTCGACATTGGTGTTCTGAGAGTCGATCATTAACTGGAGAAGATCATTCCGTCGTTTCTATGTAACAATGATAAGAAAATTGCATGGCTACCGTCAGTAACACTCAAGTAGTACAGGAAATAAACATATGAGAAAACTTATAGTATTTTTATATCTTGGTCCATTTTAGTAGCCTAAAGTTTCCATTAACAGTTTATATTTTACTAAAGAGCATCAGACTTTACTATCAACTAGTGCTTTTCTGAAACTTACAAAGTTGGTTGTCAAATATTATTTGTTAATTCTTTGTGTACACATAACATGTATTTTCCTGTATCTTGAAACTACAAAACATGCATATAAAATACAAAATAATAGCATTGCTAAGCATTTTAATTAATTTACCTAAGAATTTAATTAAGTTATCCCAAAGTCAAAGATCTGATTTGTTTGAAAACATAGTTAATATAACTCTGTAGAATGATAAGCTTATTTATTGTGTGGAACTATTTCAAACAACAATACTGGGGTAAATACAGTTAAAGATCGCAGCTACATCTAAAATAGTTTGGGTTGCTTTACCAACCAAACAAATACCCATGTATACATCCACTAGTTTCTTCTGGTCCCGAGGTTACTAATTTACAGATTGTAGTTTCTGTACCTGATGATGATGTCAGGACTTCTTAACCAGGTGAAACATTGTACTGTGTAAATAATATACTGTTTTTGTTTTTTAGTATTGCTAAAAATATTAACTAATTTACCAAAAAATGTAATTAAGTAATCCAAATGTCAAAGATCTGATTAGCTTAAAAACAGAGTTAATATAGCCCTGTAGAATGATAAGTTTATTTAACATATAGTTAAAACAAGGTTAAGTAAGAAATGCGTTAATATAAATCAGATTACTGGCTAGGGTTAATATAGAGTTCCATTAAACTTCAAATTGACCAAACTATTACCCGATTAGTTTGGCTGGGTGTTTATTTAATAATACCTTACGTGCTCGTTAGTTTAGTAAACCTGTTAATTAATTAAATCAATGTAGTTGGTTAATTTAATTAAATCTTAATTAATAAAGCTCAGTGACTTGCCCAGTATAACCGAATGTTAATTAACATAATTCACTAAAGTAGTTAGTTTAACTAATATTAATTTACCCAGCTCTGAGAAGGTAGAACAGCGAGAATATTGTAAGATAAGGAAATTATGGGTAGTTGTTGTAATGGTAATTAATATAAAGACAAGAACCCAGTGACCTTATTAATTTCATACAGCGTTGAAACGTTTGAATAGCGAGTGAATTCTATGTTAAGAAATTCAAGGGTAGTTCGTGTAATGCTAATTAATAAAACTCAGTGACCTTGTTAGTTTTACGAAGTGTTGAGAAGATACCTCGTACATATCAGGAAACATCGTTTAACTTCAAAACTAGATGACGTAATCAAGTATATGATGAGAACTGTCGTCTAACTACGACAGTAGGTGACCTAATTACATATACGCTGGAACCCACTGTCTAGTTACGAAATCAGCCACGTATATGTTTAACACATTCTCTATTAACTGTAGAGAAAGTACCTTAAAACTGGACACAAACAGCAGCATTGGTCTTTATGATTTGTTTTTTATATTATTTTTCAATTTGAGAACTAACTAGTTTACTGATAACAAGTGTCATACTCGTACAATCATATATCATATAAGAATTATGTATCACTTACATAAAAACCTTTCCATATTGATCTATCCAATCTTGAAGACAAGGAAGGGCATCCTATGTTTATATGATAAAAGATATTAATGGTTAATGTTTTATATCACTGCAGTTCGTCTGGGTTTATAACAATTGTTAGGCCTATTGGTTTTCAATATTTCGTCTGCTTTAGGCCTTTAAACCGTAACTTTCATAGAGTAGAAAACATATATCTATAACACTTATTAATGAAACGAATTTTATGTTTAATATTGATAAAAGAAATGAATTTTATGTTTAACATCCACAAGCATAGATTAATGCATTAAATATTTAAATAAAAATCATTATAAGCTTATCCAAAAAAGAAGAGAAGAACAAGACTGTAATGTTTTCAAGGTGAGATTCAGAGAAACGAAAAGTATCAGTTTAAACATTTGAATTTTATTTTAATTAAAGAACAACAAATCATACCTTCCAGTACATTTCTCACATGTTACCAGACAACAAATCAGGTTTCGGTCCTGGAATTCCCAGCTTCAAAAAACTGCTGAAATGCTTCCTCCTTTTTCTGATATTTAGAAAATAAAACAGTTTTATGCATTATCATTCTGAACGGTGTTAAATTAGGAAAAGAAATATAATTGTAATGAACTGAGAAAAAAAGCGCTTAATTAAAATAAACACGAGAAAGTTAACAACTCCTTTCACCCAAAATATGCATGTAGAAGTTACCAGGAACCTTCACCTAAAGAATACGTTTTGAAGTCAAGAGAGCCTGCACCCAGAGGTATACATTAAAATCACTTTTCACCCAAAATAAACATGAAAAAAGTTAACATCCTTCACCTAAAATATACATGTTGAAGTAAACAGCACCCTTCACCCAAAGTATACATATATAAATCAACAACATCATTCACCCAAAATATACACGTAGAAGTTAACAACATCATTCACCCAAAATATACATGTAGAAATTAACAGTGATTTTCTACTTACATTTAATTTACATAGAAGGAAGTAGTGAGAGTGGGAAAACTGTTTTATTTCAGATATTCGCACAAGACTACACAGGAACTATCTGCACTACTAGCCTTCCCTAATTTTGAAGTGATAGATTACAGTGAAGGAAGATAGAACACAGTATCCACCGCCAACTCTTGGTTATTCTAATTAGACTCACGGTTTCAAAGTGGGAAGGATGATTATTTGTGACAACAGGATACCCTCGGAATCACAGTCCAGTATGCCAACCTTAGGGTTTCCCTAGCCCAGGGAGGACAGAATTATAGGAATTATAGTAATTAACTTTTCTACTTTAGAAGGTGAAATGAGTTTTACGGAAAAGTTTTGAAATGTTTAAAGGATATGCAAATTTTCAAACCTTTTTGCATTCGGAAGAATATGCATGTATATTATAGTGATATCTCTAGGGGAGAATAACTATATTAATTCAACAGTCCAGTAGTGTTGTGATCGTGATTTTATAATAAAACCATGCTCATTTTGTATTATACGTTCTGTCCAGTGTTTTTTATTTTTTGGAATAAACCTAAGTCAGTATAGTCAGCTTCAAAAATAATCCTGTCAGTCTTTCGGTTATAAAGTGGACCTAACTGACACATTTTGTGGAAATCATTTAAAACCTCAAAATACAACACTCTCATAATTGTCTTAATACGTTTGTTTAGAGTGTGGTAACGTATTGTTCTACAATATTAATTTATTTCAATACATTGCTTATATAATACAACATTACCAAATTAACATTGAAAGCTTGAGACAAACAAACCGCTCCTTCACGTCGTATACGTATTTAGGAGACAAACAAACCGCTCCTTCACGTCGTATACGTATTTAGGAGACAAACAAACCGCTCCTTCACGTCGTATACGTATTTAGGACATCCCGTTCCATTCTCACTTATTAACAAAATTTATACTAAGATTTTTATTCAGCTTCAAGGTTGTTATGTTCAGTTTATCATTAGAATTTATAGTACAATATTTCATATTTTGTGAGAAAGAGCACAGAATAAAACATGATTATTTACAAACAGAACACATTAAACCGTTCCCGCATTTTTCTGTTAGTATATGTGATCCTATGTGGACATATATTTTAATGTTTCAAGGATTCTGTTTTGCAAATGTCATTAAAATACTGCTTTAAATATACTTACAGGATCCAGATTGTGAAGAGTATTGAGAAAAGGGTGATCGTTACTGTTCCGAACATTGTGCCAACTAAGAACCAAAGCAATAAACAACGCAACAGACTAACAGAAGAATTATGAAGCAAACTCATCTAAAATAAGAGAACTTAATCACTTTAACCTTTATATAACGAAGTATGACTTTTCTATATGCATCTCGGCACAACTATTCCATACAATTCGGAAACAGCCGAGTGGAGCCGAGGCTTTTTATCCTTATTTTGAGGCCGTCCGTCCAGCTACTGAACCAATGAGAATTTAGGTTTAAAAAAGAACCAATGAAAATCATTTTAAGAAAAGTTAGCAACAAGAGGTGGACCCAAATCTCACAAGATCTTAGTGTTCAAGTACTGATACAAATTTAATTATTCTGTGATTATTAAGTGTTTTTAAGGACTTTAAGAATTAGAAGTAACTTTCATTAAATAATATGCAAAGACTTGGTTAAAATGTGTGACGATTTATGTTGATTTGGACGTTATTTCTCAGTTTAACAGTTCAAACAATAGTTAGGCCAGTTTGACCCTGGAGAAGAAAGATCCACCTTTTGACAGCGCTCGGGTTATAGTGTAACGTATTTTGTGTTATATGGATTTCTTGGACACACGTGTTCTGCTAACATTATAAATAGTCAGGCCTTGTCACGCATAATGGAGGTTTGTGGTTATCAACATGTGAATCCACTGAAGTTAAATCGTTTGTAACGTTCGAAATTTATAAACGTTCCTGGTCAAATATTTCAAGTGTTCTGATTAATAAGCGTTATAACAATCCCAGTTATAGCTTCCGGAGTTTATAGCACACCAACTATAGCAAACCAATAATATATATTTTTTAAGGTGCGTCGCGTTGGTTATTTATATATATATATATGCGTGTGGAGAGTTTCTCGAAAATTCAGATTACGTAACAATACAAAGCTACATTAGCGTTTACGTATACACATATATTGTTGATTTTTACACTCGAGAATCTTCTACAACTTTGGAGAATAGGCAGCAGTTTCGCAATACATATTTAACAGTATACATTATGTACATTTATAAATATAAATTTAACTTAAACAAACATCGATATTAAAATATATGTATAATAATAAATCCGTCACAACTAACGTCATTACATCAAAATAAAATTGTTGTCTATGGCCGTTCAATATATTCTTTACACTGCAGTAAATTTGTTTTCTATGACTGTTCACTAACTTCTTTATATCAACAATAAACTTGTTGTATATGATTGTTCACTAATTTCTTATATCAACAGTACAGTTGTTGTGTAGAGCTGTTTCTGTATATACCAGGTTACTAGATTAGTTAATAGGTCAATTATTTAATTTTTTAAGAACTGTTACGTCTCTGATCGTTTGTTAATTACTCGTAAAAATTATTTCCAAAGAACTTCAGCGATACAAGTCCTTTCTCAAATAAAACTAGTTTATTCTTTTTCAATTCAACTTTGCAATACATCTAATTTCACCAGTCACCTTAACTTAAACACATGCTGTAATTTACAACGAACGATTCACGCACTTCACTTACAATTGCGCTTGACTCAATTGTCTGTTTATATCTTCAATCTCTCTGTCTGCTATACCATTCCGATTTATTGTCTGGCGCACTTATATACAAGAATAGAGGGCGCCTAGTAAATACTGGATTATTCGTGATGTTCTCCGATCTTTCTAGAACTCATTACGTGTTACCAGCGTCACGTGACTTCCACTGTCGTAACACTGCCCCTTCTTTAGTATTGTTTGTCCCGAACAATAGCCACTTACATTAAACCAATAGAAAATTTACAGAATTTACAAATACAAAATTAAAATTCAACAAAGTCTCTTAATTTTACGGGACGTATCTTCTTCCATACTGGTCCCCATCTCGTTGGCTTCTTCTTCACGTGGGGTTCATCTGCTCCATCGGGAAATGTCCTATTATCGTTAACAGTCACATCAGTAGTAGTAACTTCATCAA